GGAACTATGTCGTGTGTCAGATGTCTGACAGGATTGCCAAGTGCCGTCAACCATTTCACCCAAATTAACCTATGGTCGTCTTACCATTGGTTTGTCATCGGAGTTAGGTGATAGAGAAAGTGGATGGTGCGACTGATGCTGAGAATGTCCGCCTCACTATAAACTTACTCACAAGCAAGTTGCCGATACTGCCCCCATTCCGGAGGTCAAGCTGTCGACGTCGCTTCTTGTGACAGTCGAACCGTCAGTCGCCAACTAGCTGGTTTCAATACAGAAGTGGCAAACTGAGAACGCAGTCCTATATTTGGCGCCCAAAGTCATAAAAAATTGACCGGACCCCTTATACACGCGTTCGAGAGAAGACATTACTCAAGCAGGGTTTCAACTTTGAATAATTTCAAGTTAAAATATAGGTGACAAGTGCCAACTTCTGTTTCGCCAGGTTTTTAACCGCCTGTGTTGATATTATTCGCAGTGTATGATTAAATTGTCATTAATTATTCTTATTTCGGCCAGATACGTTTTATTAAAGTTAGTACCTGAAAAAAAATATTTCGGTCTTAAAGTCTCCGCTCGCATCTACGTCTTGAAAGATATTCTACAGTCCTACATGTTCCCAAATTTTTATGAGCTAAATGCTACGTAGACCCTTCAAATAAATCTGTTTTTGTCATTCTATTGCTATATAATGGCTGTCTAGCAGTCCAAAACTATTACAGCAGTTAGTTTTCGAGTGACATAGTAAAAGAGCAATATGCGAAAACTCAGTCTACTGCCCAACAATCTTTCGAGATTCCTACAAAGTTCCAGAATTAAAGACTTTCATGAATTAAAATAAATCCTATCCTCGGGAACAGAATTTAAAAGTTGGACTTTATTGTAAAATGACATGAGGAGGCGATTAGCGAAGGCATTATTACCATGAGGTGTAATCGTACTTCTACTGTTATCGGCAAATATGGTGAAAATGCATGCCGTTTAAGGAGACCTTTTTTCCTGAGTATGTTTTACGAAATTGTCTCCAAATGCACCACATCACGAGTTATCGTGTAGGCATTTATTAACTGCAATGCAGTTCTTATCGAGGCCATTTTGAATTAGTATTTTTGCTTGAAAGCATATTTAAATCTTCAGTCAGGACCTCATGAAATTCGGCGCCGATTGCACGCATTTGTTATATCTTAACTCAATCTTGTATACCTGTCGGTTTAGTCACGTTTTATATTATCCACATTATACATAGGGGATGTTACCAACGGTACCTAGTGCTCCTTATTCCGTAGATGACACGGATAGCTCTAACATTCAGTCCTGATTACCTTTTTCATTTGAATCGCTTCTATCTTGAGTTTGAATAATGTGCATAAAACCGGGTAAGCATTGTAGTTTTCACGTTAATAAAGTTTAACAGCATTATAAAAACCATATTTTCGGAGAGTTCAACGTATCTTCTCATGTTCGCTTGCCTAACAATTGAATTGCAAGAAACGCCAAAGATTTTATCAATTCCTTAGTACTCACTTAATGTTTTTTTAAACTGAAACCAATTGTAGAGGTCTAAACCCACGAATAAATGAGCAGCGTCCTAGTGGTTTAGCCTATATAGTCTATCTTGTAAAATAAAATCGCCGTCGCCGTTAAGTCAGTCATTTGAGGGAAAAATTTTTGCAGCCCGAATTCTGCTCGGATGACCTTCGTAATTGCTTTCACGCGGCGGCATTAAATTAGCCAACTTGCTCAGGACATTTGTGTTTTTCCCCATGGACTGAGCGAGCCGAGAAGGTCATGAGTCACTCCACTGCCTTCGTGTCCCCAGCCATGTGGCAGTTTTCTTCACACAAAGCAACTTCCACACACATCTCCAGTTAAGTCTGAAAGGGCCATTTCGTCGTTATATGCAGAAAGTAATTACCCAGTGTTTTCGTTGGTGAGTCCGTCTAACTTTATGCATGAACGGTTGCTTGCGTGTGGGCAGTGAGCAGATGGTTATGGCTGCACATGATGCGTGATTGCTTGCTGTCGGGTTGGGTGAGTTGAGCAAGTGCAAAAAAACCAAAACACAGGTTCTGGGACGTTTTTCATTGGTAAATCTACATACGTTGCTCCTGAACAAAAGGATGTCTCGCAAATATTTAACGACAGACATTCTAACATAGTTCTAGAGAAGAAACAGCGTCTATTGGCCCAGCAATTCATTCACTTAGCCGTTGGCAACAGTGCCATTTCGATAGCTCGAGGGCTGGACGTATTCACGTTCGCCAGGGGGTGGAGAGGGATAGCAGGTCCTTCAAACAGGTAGAAAGCGTGTCATTGGCTTGACCAAGAGCTTCCCAGACTGCCGAGATGACTTCTAAGTCTGCGTAACGAGCACACCAGTAGGTGTAACAAACGAAACTGTTGTTGGTGATGTGTGAGGCCTCCTGGGATTCTTATGAGCCATGCATACCGCTGGGGTGGTATCTGAGACCAAGAGACGGTCGTCTTCCGTCCATGAGGACATACGTTATGAGTACAGCAATACATGCAATCTAAACGAGGCAGAAAATTCATACTGAGACATGTTTAGGGAGAACGGGCTAACAGTAGCAAGGGTGCTACAATTGTCCACCCACAATTTCTGTGTCTGCTTGCTGTAGAATTCAAGGATATTTTCTTCTGATAGCAAAATAGGAAAGGAAATTTAAGTCAGAAGTGCAAGCAAACAAGTTTGCTTCATTCTACACTGCAGAATGAACTTTGATCTAGTTGGCAATTTTTTCTTTTCAATGTCAACCTAGCGACCAAAACTGACATTTTCCTACTTTGTCGAAATTAAGTTGTAGGCTACTAGCTGAGTTTCGAGATTTCTTGGTCGTCATAAACATATTTAGAAGCAGGTTAGATTGTGTCACTTCACTAAGTAGCGACTTTACCAGTAAAAATTCAGTTTTTACCAGATCTTCCTAAATCAACGACCAACACACTTGATATATTCGAGGAAAACTTCGGGTTTCGAATAGTTTGAAGGCATTATCCAGAGGGAGACGACATTATTTATTAAAGTCATCTAGGTTTTACACATTTTATAAAAAACTACAACAGTTCGTCTGATATTTAAGACGGCATAACCAACAGGAAATGTTTTATTTAAAAGTCTGCAAGACTTGTAGACTCAGACTCAGGTTCGAATAGGCTGGCCTGTTCCAAGTTAGCGAGTAATTGCTGAGGAGATTCAGAAGCGGCACTTTAAAAACTGGAGTTTCTACTTGAAAAGCATACGAGGAATGCTGGGGAACACGCTGATGAGCCAAACCCCTTGCAGCTGCTTCCTGCAGTGACACAATGTCGGAAAAAACTTGCCTGGGCTTTTAGGCAGTAGCTGTGTTATGAAACATGGTATCTTGTGCTAACTGTGCATATCCTACTAGCTGCCTGTTGGCGGCTTATGACTATTACGGGGTTATTTCGCAGTGGGTGATGGGCCTCGGTCAAATATTCATATCAAATTTCTGTCCGAGTCTCGAATAGACTGATCTACTCCAAGTAAGCGATTAGTTTCTGAGAAAATTTAAAAGCCCATGCACGCGTATGCTTTGTAAATATTTGCGGGACGGACCCTTAATAGCGTCCAAATGACTGAAGTAAATACAAACCTTATAATCCAAGGCTCAAACATTTACGACTTGCAACAATGATATAAACGTTAATTCGATATGAGGAGTGCTTTATGTTAGTGCCCTATAAGCTTATATCTTTGTTAAGAAACAAAAAGCTGAAAGTGATGGTCATGGTAGGTCGCTCACTCGCTTGCAGGGGTAGACTACGCCTAGCGTCCATCTAGTGGCACCCAACTCTCATAAGCGGCTCCCCAAAGCTAGGCCCTGCCTATCGGCCACACTACGGTAACCGCCTCCGCAACGATCGGGTGAAGGACCCCAAACACACACACACACACACACACACACACACACAGCCAAAGGTACCTGTCTTACGAAAAAGATGGTAATAGGAGTTTTACGGGCAGGACCCATATATGCATAAAGGAATAGCAGATTAGGTATAGTCAATTGGTAAATTCGGTTTTCGAGCAGAATAGTTTTGATGCATTGACATATAGCAACCGAAATTAAGCGGGACAATTAAAGAAATAAATGTTAAGTGTCTACAGCGATCGCTTCTCAACTCTCTGAGCAGAGGTCATTGCAGATAATGCACCAGACCGTCTACAACAGACGACCCAAAATTGTACAATGAAACGCCAAACCCAAATAATCGTGACGGACTAAAACCCAATAAAATAGGTATAGTAGGTATTCTTCGTATTCCACAGATGCTTGCGGCCTTCACATGATCCTTACCACTGCGTCGACCAGCGGGCTAAACCAGGTAAGGGTATCCGTGTGTGCATCTCCGCAGACGGTAATCTCGGCTCAGGTAGCCGAGTGGATCACCGCATCGGTATCTCCGAGCCGAGCCTCCGTCTGCAACAGCCCAGGAAGCCACAAGGTATGTGAGCCCTCAGGTAAGCGCACATTGCTTTGTCGTCTTTGATTTGTTTGATTGCTTGATTCTGTCTACTTCTTTGTGTTTGTCCTTGTTGTAAACTAAACGCCGTTCCGTTGAATTACCTCTGTCTGTCTTTGCTTCTGCTTGTTCTTGCTTGCGTGCCTTTTGTCTGCCTGCTTTTGGTTGTATTTTCCGTACTTCAACTGATGTTCTCTTGAATCTGTTTGCTCACGGCTTATATAGTTCAGCAAACAGCTCGCCTAGAGAAGGGCGGGAAAGCTCTGCTTCCCGTATTTCTACCTTTCTCCTCCGCCCACAATTACTACGTCACTGTGGTAGGCAGGCCCAGGCTAACTCGGGTCGCACTCCCACTACACAAAAGTCATGGCCAATGTTGAAGTTCGATAGCCGTCCGGGACAGCGGAGTAGCCTTATTTAGGTTCAGCACTGTTCGCCTCCGCCTGCCTCTCCGGGGAGGCAAATTCGCCACAATCATCAGTGTCTACGCTCCGCCGATGACAAGCCCTGACGTCGCAAGGGGCAAATTCTACGAGGACCTACACGCCCTCCTGGTGTCTGTGCCGAAGGCGGATAAGTTTATTGTCCTCGGTCACTTCAACGCCCGCGTCGGCACAGATTAGGATGTCTGGAGAGGAGTGCTGATTCCCGATGGTTTCGACGGCACCAATGACAATGGCCTGCTCCTCCTCCGAACCTGCGCAGAACACCGGCTCATTCTGACGAACACCTTCTTCCGCCTCCCGATGCCAGAGCTGGTCACATGGATGCATCCCCGATCGCGTCAGTGCCACCTTTTGAACTATGTCCTCATCTGGGGGTGAGACTAGCCGGACGCGCTGTTGACAAAGGCGATCCCGTGTGACGACTGGTGGACCGATCCTCGTCTGGACATTTCGCGGATGCGGATTCGCCTACAGTCTCGCAGGAGACCTCAAGGTAAGCGACTCCAGGTAATCTGAATATTGCTTTGTTGTCTTTGCCTGCCCACCATCCTATTTCAGCAGCGAGATAGCTCAACGGCTAGACAACCTACCAGTCGCTGATGCCGCCGCCGCCGCTGAGGAGAACGCCACCGTGGAGAACCTATGGTGTCGACTACGAGATACAGTCCAGGCCACAGCCCTGGCCATCCTCGGTCACGCACAACGTCCGCACCAGGATTGCGACCCCTGCTGAGATTTATAAGCACGATAGCCCCCAACTCATAGATCATCTGACGGCGCTCTTCCAGGAGATGTGGCGTCAAGGAGAAGTCCCGCAGGATTTCATGGACGCCACAATCGTCCATCTCTATAAGAAGAAAGGTAACCGCCAACTCTACGACAAACACCGGGCATCTCCCTGATGAACATCATCTGGAAGATAATCGCTTGTATGCTTCTTAACCGCATGAACAAACATCTGGAACAGGGCTTCCTGCCGGAAGGCCAATGCGACTTCCGCCGCCATTGTGGGACCACGGACATAATCTTCGCCGCCCGCCAACTTCAGGAGAACTGTCAGGAAATGCGGAACCACCTGTACTCAACCTTTGCGAATCTAATGAAAGACTACTACACGGTGAATCGTGAAAGATTGGGAAAATCATACAGAAATTCGGCCGTCCTGAGCAATTCACTCAGATAGTGCGTCAGCTCAACGATGGCATTATGGTGCGCGTCACGGACAATGGGACCGTGTCAGAAGCATTCGCACTGGCCAACGGAGTGAAACAGGACTGCGCCCTCGCACCTACCCTCTTCACTCCTATGTTCCCTGTCATGCTGACAGACGCCTGCCGTGACAAACACCCTGGGATCTGCATCGTCTACAGGACGGACGGTCAACTCCTCAACCACGGTTGAATACACTTCCAGCCGAGTGTATACACAACCACCATCCACGAACTTCTCTACGCCAGCGACTGCGCCTCCAACTCCACCTCGGAAGGGGATATGCAGTGGAGCATGAACCTCCTAGCCGCCGCCTGCGAGAGCTTTGACCTAATCGTAAACAGTGAGCAAACGGAGGTTATGCATCAACCGCCACCAGACGCTGCATACGTCGCACCCATAATCAACGTGAACGGCACCCAACCGCAAGCCGTGGACAACTTCACTTACCTGGGCAGCACCCTCTCCCGTAACACCAAGATCGATGGTGAAGTGGCCCGCCGGATCTCCAAAGCCAGCCAAACCTTCGGCCGTCTGCAAAGCAGTCTCGAATCGCCACGGTCTCCACCCCGACACCAAAATGAAGATGAAAAAGGCGGTCTTCCTACTGGCGCTGCTGTTTGGAACGGAGACCTGGACGATGTACAAGACGCAGGAGCGAAGACTCAGTCATTTCCACCTCAGCTGTCTTCGACGGATACTGAAGCTGGGGTGGCAGGACCGGATGTGCATGCAGCATCACGCAGACGCAACCACTTCCACTCCAGTTGTCTTCGCCGAATTCTGAAGCTGAGGTGGCAGGACCGGACCCCAGATACGGACGTACGGGAACGAACGGGAATCCTCAGCATTTACGCCATGCTGAGACAGTTGAAAGTGCGTTGAAGCGGCCACCACCTGCGGATGGACGACGAACGTCTACCCAAACGACTCTTCTACAGAGATGTTGCCACGGACTCCCGCCAACAAAAGGACCAAGGAGGTCTTTACAAGGACACTCTGCAGACTTCCCTGAAGCGTCGGCAAGTCGACCTGGCCAGCTGGGAAGACCTCGCCCGAGACCGGTTGGCCTGGAAGAGGACTGTGAAAACAGGCGCAGCCATCTATGAAGCCAACTACATCGCTACCGCCAAATCCAAGTGCGAGGCTCGCAACTCCCAACTGCACCTACCTCGCAACGCCAACGCTTAACCACCCCGGACCTGCTTACGCTGTCAGCGGACGTTTCGGACACCAATCGACCTTATTGGACATCTTCAATATCAATTGCGGCGCCCGGACTCCACCAGTCGACCATCTCCCTGTCCAAGTCTGTGTCAGACTCCAGGTCGACAACTAACATTGACTACAATTCCGGAACCCCCACTACCATCCTATTCCTCCTCCATTGCCTCAACATCTGCTATGGCTGCTCCTGTGCCCACAACCACTGCACACAGTCCTGAAACGCCAACAAACATCAACACCCACACCCACGACACTAGCGATATGAACTCGATTCATACCTGCCCTCACTGCCATCACACCTTCACCTCATACATTGGCCTAGCCGGTCACTTGCGAATCCATTGCGCAGAGACTGGTGAACCAATGCCTGGAACACAAACCTACACTCACCGCATTCGCCTCAGCTGTCACACTGCCCTCGCACATTCATGTAACACATGAGCCTATTCGTCCATATGTGTATCCACCAGAGCGAAATTGATCGCAGCCCCGACACACCTAGCACCTTCGGCACAGTTACCATGCATAGCTCAACCCACACCTCGTCACCCAGTGCGTCCTCCACCAACAGCCCCACCACTGCCACCATCTCCAAAACCGACACTGACACCGCCCACTTTTTCTGTCCATACTGTCCCCGTACATTCGCCTCACACATCGGCCTGGTCGGTCACATGCGAATCGATCGCATAGAAACTGGCAAACCAGTGCTTGGACCACTAACATACACTAGGCGCATCCGCCACAACAGCCCTCACTGCATACGCACATTCACCCACCGCATGAGCCTACTAGGACAAATGCGCATTCAAAAGAACCTGCTGTAGACAACCGCCGGTTATGCCGCATCATCTCACTTTCCCCCACTAACTCATGCATCACACAACTTTGGCATCCACCACAAACATCCCATCGCCACCTCTCACACAAACGGGAAGTGTGCGTTTCGGCTCTGTCTCTATGCTGCTTCTTTGTTACATGTGTGATTCGAGTCTGAGGCTATCACGTCGCGTCAAGCGCTGTGGCCTGGAAGGCTGCTGACTGACGCCCCAACTCAACCCGCCCAGTTGTGTGTGTGTTTGTGTGGATTGGCGGACCGGTGGGCTGAGAGCCAGGTCAAAGCGGCTCCTTCTTAACGTGACCTACGGCACTCTCGCGCATTCCATATGTACGCCGCTCAACCCCCGTTGTGCGATATCCTGGTGCTTGTGTTTGGGGGACCAGGTCGTGCACGTGGCGCACGCAGACAAGTCCACTAGATGTCAGCCACCGTGTCCATTTCCCGAACCTGTCAAATGACCGGCTCGGACAGTGACTTGGGACTGGGAATGGGAAGAAAGAGTGAGGTCGACGGCTCAGCGAATTTTCCTCACGTGTAACAATCTGACGCGCTTGAAGTTATCACGGTGCACTAAAAGTCGTGGCTTGGAAGGTTACCAACTGACGGGATAACTGGGACCTCGCAGTCGGTCCAGTGTTGTATGTTTGTGTGGAGCGGCCGACTGTTGGTACAAGAGTCAGGCTGCAATGGCTCCTTCTTAATGTGGCCTTTATGGTATTCCCACTCCGTGGGATCCGGGCTAGGTGTGGCGGCACGTCCAGGTGCGGCTCCGGCCGTGCCAGTCATCCTTTTTGTTGGACAGAAACCTAGCCATTTACTGTGTGGCCCAGGGGGTTTGGAGTGGAAAACGAAGATGCGGGCTTCACCGCGCCATCCATCTGCGCACTCCCCGCCTCCGGTCTTCTTGACTTTGCCTTGGGGCCGAGTCCAGGGACGGGGAGGAGGAGAGAGTGCGGCGGGTGCTGTGCAAATCCGGATTCAGCATAAAATGAATCACGAACAGTCCACGTCCTGTTCTCACATTCCTGTAGAGCACACGGTGAATATCGTCAGAAACAACGGTCGGACTGTCGTGTGTGGCGTACTACATCTGATCTTAGCTCATAAAGTCGAGAAGCCTACAACGCCCAAGCAGGCATGCAATCGATCAACACGATGGTCAGACTAGGGTTGGCACGCTTTAACCGGACTGTGCAGAGCCCGCATATTCCTTAAGAGATGTCACACATGGGGCGTGCGTTTTCACGCTCATGCACAGGCGCAGGCAACGTCAGTCACTTTCACCCAATCCCAGTATCAAATGACTGGCGGGCTTGGTGCGTGGAAGGGGAAAGCGAGAGTGTAGTCGATTCTAGCATTCTGCAACAAAAAAAGTCTGACTCGCTTTAAAATCATCCATATGCGCTAAAAGTTGTTGCTTGGAATGCTGCCAACTTACAGGATAATTCGGTCCTCTTAGAACGAGCAGCCAAGTTGCAATTCTATGTTCTGAATGCAGCCTCTATGGCACTCCCACCCAAATGGGAGTCGAGACGTCCCTTCTTTCTGTCAAGGGCCTAGTCCATTGTTTCACGGACAAGGTGGTGTCGGGCACGCTGTGTCGGACTGCTTAGCTTTGTCAGCAAGTGCGTCCGATCCAACCCTCAGTCCCATCGGCCCTGTATTGTCACTGGAGTAGGATGGATGAGAGAGGAGAGAGTACGGTCGATGGTGCGCAAGTCTGCTACTGCTATAAACCACTTCACTTGCGATTCACTGTCCTGCGCCCGTCATGATGTGGGGCACACGGTGGGCATCGCCGTTAGTGACAGTCGAACCGGCATGTATGGAATGTTTATTCACCTTTGAACTCTGCAATCTATAGGTGATTTAATATGTGCTAAGGACATTTCAGACAAAGCTTCAAAGTACTCAGCCCTAGCTCCAATCAGCTTGTCTGTAGCTTGAGACTGCATGCTAGTAGAATATGGTAAAGTAAAATTCGAATTTTCTACACTTTACTGCAGTTCATATGCTATTAGTTTCTGATATCAACACTGATAGAAAAGCTGTATTAATACACTTCATGATCATGAACCCCAGAATATTTGCTAATTTAAAAGACCGGGTAACTATTCATAAAACTTTTTAGGTTTTAGCAAAACTCCCATGGCGAAATGACAGAGGAACACTCTGGCAGTCTTATGAATGCTTACGAGTTATTCCAAGTCCTAATAGCAAAGTCTATTTTAGTGGCTGGACTCGACAATAAGAGGGAACCGTCAGCCAATACGACGCTTACAAGGAAATTTCGCAGTTCTAGTGGGCATGGGCCAAAACCATTTGTTTTGGTACGATAACAAATATAAGTTAACTAATTGCATGGAAGGTTATCTATGTGAATTGTCCACACGCCTGCATCATTCTTTTTTACCCAACGACGAGTGTAGGAATTAAACTTAGTAATCATCTTTTAATACCCCCTTTGCACGTGGATTAACTGAGTACCTGAACTGTCCTTATTAAAAGTAGCTACACACATGGGTGTGTTCATTATAATGGACTTAGTGCATAGCAAACCTCCACGGACGGTTAAAAGTCCTGGCTTGAAATGCTGCTAACTAGAGGGCCAACTTGGTCCTCCTTCTGACTGATGATCAGTTTGGTGTGCATATACGAACCAGCATGTGTGCGGCCCGTAGGGCGTGTGCGCAGATGCCCCAGCAACTGAGACCACACCCGCCTCCAGGTCCCGCGACCTTGTCCTGAAACTGGAGCATTTTGGGTGGAGGAAGATATATTGGGATGGATGCAGTTAAAATCCATATTACTGTAAACTACCTCATGCCTAAGTTACCTTTCGTCTCCGGAAAACGGTGGCCAGCGTTATTTGCGACAGACGGACAATCAGCGCTTAAAGATATGCAGATGACAACGAACCATCGTGTTTATTTGTGCTATACATTTTGACAGCTGGAAGCCACTCACACAACTGGGGGAGAAATCTAAACACTTATGTCTCCTTCAAGTCTTCTGAGTCAACGTTAGCATAATTTGCCCGAGTGCCTTAATTTTAGAGGCATCGTTGAGGCAGACCACAATGATGTTAAACTGAATATCAACATGGAGACTATACACAAGGGAGACTTTCTTAATCTGTAAAAAATCCGTTAGGTGACCTCTGGCAGAACCCTTAATTACTTCAAAGTTTTTGAGGCTCTGTGGTGAAATAAGGTTGAAGTGCCACTCAGCCTGTATTCAACTCCAGTTGGTCTATGATTTCCAATATCTTGATCAATTTTACTTTAAGCAAACTGTGATAACCGAGAACCCCACATAGCCAAAAACTGTGCATCACCAAACGAAGACGGACATCCCAACATCGCATCGCCTGGTGGCAAGTTTAGGCCTGCACACCTGCACAGAACTCAACAAAAGTTAGGTCTTAGCATAATGAGAACTAATCCGGTGTTTTGAAACTTCATCGGGAAATGGTTAAGTGCGAGTTGCATGGGCGAATGCCTTGCGATTTGCTTGATTTTAGGTTTTCGGAATTCTAAGCCGAAACTTAAAAACTCATTTTTGGTCATCGTTTTCTTTTTATCAGGTGCGGCCTTCGCTTTTGCCAGGCTGTTCTATCTATATCTGTTACTGGGAAACGTTTTTTTGTTCCAGCAAAAGACTAATGCGCCATGACGGTTTTCTTCGGTCTCACCGCTTTTTTGCGTCCGAAGAAGAATTACTCTTCCCCGCCCAGGGATGGATGACGCATAATTAGTCTCCTTCTCTATTTCCAACAGTATACAAAAACGGTTTTCTCAGAGGAAGAAGAAAAGTATGTGTGTTCTTTTTCAGTTTTTACCTACTAGTGGATCGTTTTTAAACGGTCGCCCTCCTTCCATAGTCTCTCTTAATCGGCTGCGCTGTGTCTGTCCGCATCAGCAGAAAACGTAGCTACATAAACTTGCTACCTATAGTTTAACATGCTTTGCATAAAGTAAAGTGAGTAAAATCGTTTTGAAAAACAGGAAATTAAGTAAAAACACTTCGAAATTAGAAGTTCGTATGATTCGGCTGATAGAAAACTTTAAATTCAACAAACCACGACCAACTCCCTTCGATATTCCTCAAAAATTAAGGCAGA